CAGGACACCGGCCCTCCAGGACCGAGTTTGGACACCCCTGGTATAAGTCATTATAATCCGTAATTATGTCCCTACTGGATGCAACAAATGCCTCGTTTATAATGGGTTTTCATGTTTTTTGTCTTGTCGCTCCGGGAGACGGCATCAACAGTATGGTGAGGGGCGTAACATTTCCGTCTCACGCTTGAGGTATTCGGCCAATCACAACGCACTGGATAGCTGGCCAATCAGAGCACACCTCGCTTTTCAGAACGATTAGCTTTGTAAAAATCGACGCGTTTCAAAAAGGCGGGGCATAGAGGAGAAACAATAATGTACAGTATGTGGAAAATAATGTGTTTTTTTTAACTTTAAACCGCATAAACACATTTCATTACACCAAATACACAAAATAATGTTCTTTTTAGCAACATCATATGACCCCTTTAAAATTTTACATGCAACATAGATCAAGTCATAGAAAGTAACAGCTACACGCAATATTGTAATCCTAAAATTCACGTCGTATTTGCAAACTCTGTGCATGCATTATGGTTAATGCATGCTCGAGTAGTCGACTGTTTCCGACAGCGCCGACTAGTGGTTGAAGTAGTCGATCACTCGACTACTTTATGCAAGCCCTACAATAAAGTAACAAATTACTTAATACAGGACAACATAATGGGCCTTCTGTGAGTTTTATGAAGGTAAATGTAAGACTTTTTAAGACCAAGTGAAAAAAATGTAAGGATGAATTGCTATAGCAGCACTTCAAAGTTTGAAAATGAAATGTATAAAATGTAAAATCTCCATTTCCAATTAATTTTACACAAACAAAAATCAAGATAGATTCAAAAATGACATAAGTCGTCATATTTTCTGAGAACTGTATCAAAATGAAGTGAATTAATGTTTTTAAAAAATATTTTTTTCAACTTAATTCAAAGGGAAAACCAGTTTTCATACCCCACTGACATTTTTTTTAAAAGATAAACTCACTCAATTTTGTTCATTGTATTAAAAATCAAGACTTCATATCTTCATTTTGCATCTCGAGTAAATATATCTTGAATTAAGGATGTTTAGATATTTGTATTGAAAACTAAAACAGTAATATAGACATTTGTCTTGAAAAACAAGACAATAATACTGACAAAGATATTCATTTTTTGCAGTGCATGTAACATTTTTGGCTTTTGACTTTATGAATTTGTGGAAGGGCAAATTAAACCTGTTTAAGACCAGCAGAATTTTGATTTAAATAGATGTAATCTGGTTCTTGTATGATGAACGTGTGTTCTGCTTATCTAAGCACTGGTGTGTTTTTCAAAGATCAGGGGTGATTCGAGCAACTGAGTCCATTTTTAGATATTTATTAAATACATTCCATGAGTATTTACCTTTAGACATAAAACTTCGACTAGAAGAAAGATGCAAAGATACTGTTTTCTCTTATTCCTCCTTCACTCTGTGTTCTTTTATGGCACGTGAAGCCATCAGTCTGAAGTAGAGAGCGGGCCACAGTGTGCGCAGATAGATGGCTGCAGTAGGCAGCAGTCCAGCCAATACAACGTCTTTCTGTTTGTGACAGACAGCTTTCAGAACGGCACGTGCCACGTCCACCGGATCAGACCCCCTCGCTGTGGTTTTGTCCATTACTTCAGATTCAAAAGAACACACACACACACACACAAAATGAAACGTACGAATAATATTAAAATTTGTATATTTATGATACTCATTTTCCAAAACATCTTTTATAACTCAGATTGTTGACAACATGCTCTCACCTCCATATTTCGAGCCGTCCCCCGTGACTGCATTGATGGACAGGTTGGTTCTGATGTAACCAGGGCTGATGACTGACACCTGCAGGCCCAACCGCTCGACCTCTGCCCTCAAACAGTCAAAATAGGCCTGCGTCGCATGCTTAGATGCAGAATCTGACAGAAAACGATTCAGATATGCAAGCAAGGTACTGGGTCACATGTAATACTGTTTTTATTCATGCAGAAAAATCTTTGAATTCCCTTGAAATACCTTCTTTTGTGAATGTGTACTCACATGCAGATCTGTACGGTATGGAGATCTTTCCCTGCACGCTGCTGATGACAACAATATGTCCAGTGCGTCTATCCACCATCGAAGGCAGAATGGCTGGATGGAATCATTTTTTAAAATTAGAATAATTAAAATTATAATTCTTAATTATAATAAAAATCTACATAATGTCATACAGTCAAACCAAAAATTATTCAGACACCAGATATAATTTTTGATGTTTTTTTTTTTAACTAGTGGGTGCAGGACACTATAGTTCATTTATGTAAATGAGGAAAGCAAATTAAAGTAAACTATTACATATTTTACCAAAAATTCTTCATACAGTAAAACTGCATGACTGATACATTGATAAAAAATTTGGGACTAAAAATTATCCAGACACTTTGACCTGACCATGTTTTGCTTAAAGCTGACATATCATGAAAATCTGACTTTTCCAGGTTGTAAGTGCTATAATCAGGTCCCAGGTGCATCTACC